CCATGAATTACAATGTTTAGTCAGTCCTTGATCTTCAGAGGTGCTCTGCATTTATGTTTTGCGGTCTCAGAAAGGGCTAGCGAGATACTATCTTGTTATATCATATTATGATTGTTTTGAGAAAGTGTTTTCATCCGAGATTTACTATTATTGCTCGCTAGTTGATTATGCCATTGATATGAGTAAACATGAGACCTAAATGTTATTGTGAATATGGTTAGTTCATAATCTTTGCTAAAAACTTGAATGCTGGCTTTACATATTTACAAAAACAAGATCAAACAGAGTTTGTAGAAGTATTTCTTTATCACTTTTAGTTTGTCGACTGAATTGCTTGAGGACAAGCAAAGGTTTAAGCTTGGGGGAGTTGATACGTCTCCATCGTATCTAATTTTCCAAACACTTTTGACCTTGTTTTAGACTCTAACTTGCATGATTTGAATGGAACTAACCCGAACCGACGTTGTTTTCAGCAGAATTGCCATGGTGTTATTTTTGTGCAGAAATAAAAGTTTCGGAATGACCTGAAACTTCACGGAGAATATTTTTGGAATTTATAGAAAATACTGGCGAAAGAATCAACGTCAGGGGGCCCACATCCTGTCCATGAGGGTGGGGGCGCGTCCACCCCCCAGAATTGCCATGATGATATATATGGAGCCTCCTAGCCTCCTCTCTTGATGGGCTTCATCCAAGGGCTCTCAATGAGCCAAATCCTCTCCCAATCTCTTCTTTACGAGACAAGGATCTCGTGGGATCGGACGGGGACGAAATCGGTGAAGAATCCTATTTAGAAGGGAAACTTTCAGAGCTGTGTGCACAGCAAACGACCGCCTGTGGTCGTTCAAAAGGCCTTCTTTTGATCTGTTCTCCTCCGGTAAAACACCATCAAATCTTCATACGAACTCAAAATTTGACATTCTTGGGCTCATTGGATTCGTACGAACGAGGCAGATCCACTTCTGGCCTTAGTCTTGATTTGGAGCACTTTGGAAAAATGACTTCTTTCCGACCTTAGAAATGGCTAAGTCTGACCCCTTGCTGACTCCATATCGATCCCATCCTTGGTCATTTCATCGTTCTTGGTCCTAGGTTGCTCCAAAATACTTGTAGACATAAGAAGACAAAGAAAACTAATAACAACTAAATAAAATACTAAATGTGCAATACTCATAATGAAAAGTGTAAATACTGGTAATCATCCATAATGGACAACTATTCAGTTCAATGGGACATAATATATTAAGAGAGCATGCAACAAATGAGCTCTAAAATGCGTAAACTATAGAGCCATCGGTGTTCTTGTCGTGTTTGTCTCTTGATTTTCTCTTTCCCCACCTCCAAGTGGGAAAAATCATGAACTAGGGTTCCACCCTACATCACCAATGCTCGCTATCTATGTGTCCACGTGCAGGATGACATGTGGGCGTGTACCCATCATCGAGTGTTGATAAGTGCATAGCTATGGTGCGTGTGTGTGCACGCGCGCGTGTGTGTGTGTAGGCTGCCATGTTGACGTGCAGGGTCGTCAGCTAGTGCAAACTAGGCACGTGTTTGTAGGTGATACATCCCCAATGTATCTATAATTTTGATTGTTTCATGCTATTAATTATATTACCAATCTTAGATACTTTTTATGCAATTTTATATCATTTTTGGGGACTCCTATTAACTCAGTGCCCAGTGCCAGTTGTTGTTTTTAAAATTGTTTTTGGCTTTTCAGAAAATCAGTACCAAATGAAGTCCAAACACGATGAAACTTTACGGTGATTTTTTCTGAACCAGAAGGAACCCTAGAACGTTCGGGAGGAGGCCAGAAGATCTACGTGAGAGCCATGAGCTCACACAGCGTGCCCCGGGGGGGCGCCGCCTGAGCTCGTATGTCCCACGTAGTCCGTTGACCTAATTCCAACGCTATAAATTCCCATAAATCCCCAAACCAACAGGGAACCACCTGAAACAATTTTTTCGCCGCCATAGTCTTCTGTTCTTCCGTAATCCCATCTGGAGGCCTTTTTCGGTACTCTGCCGAAGGGGGAATTAATCACGGAGGGCTTCTACATCATCCTTGTTGTAAATCCAATGATGTCTGAGTAGTTTACCACAGACCTACGGGTCCATAGATAGTAGCTAGATGGCTTCTTCTTTCTCTCCGATCTTCAATACAATATTCTCTTCGGAGATCTATGATGTAATCTTCTCTTGCGGTGTGTTTGTTGGGATCTGATGAATTGTGGGTTTATGATCAGATTATTCATTGAAAGTAATTGAGTCTTTGTTGAACTTTATTATGCATGATTGTTATAGTTTTGTATTTCTCTCCTATCTATCCATTTGGTTTGGCCAATTAGATTGATTTATCTTCAGTGGGAGAGGTGCTTCGTAGTGGGTTCAATCTTGTGGTGTCCTCACCTCGTGACAGAATGGGTAGCGAGGCACGTATGTGTATTGTTGCCATTAATGGTAAAACGACGGGATTCAATAATATTGCTTGGTTTTATTTTGTCTACATTATGTCATCATACTTCATGCATTACTCTATTTGTTATGAACTTAATACGTAGAGATGAAGCATAGAAGCGCTCTCGAAGTGGAGTAATAATAGTAGATGCAGAATCGTATTGGTCTACTTATCATGGACGTAATGCCTATATACATGATCATTTCTATGAATAACATCATAACTATGTGCTTTTCTATCAATTATCCACTTGTACTTTGTCTACCTACCGTATGCTATCTTTATGAGAGAGAAGCCTCTAGTGAAAACCATGACTCCTGTGTCTACTTTTATCATATTATAAAAAACAAAAATACCTTGCTGCAGTTTATTTACTTTTTAATTTACCATTATCAGATTTAATCCTTGCAAGTAACGAGTTCAAGGGATTGACAACCCTCTTGTCCGCATCGGGTGTAAGTATTTGCTCTTGTGTGTACATAATGTTGACTAGGCATTTGCGTGGTTCTCATATTGATTCGATAACCTTGGTTCTCATCAAGGGAAATACTAGCCGCTACTATATTTTTTCGCCCTTCCTCTTCGGGACAAATCCCAACACAGCTGACAAGTAGCAGTAGGTATCAAATACTCCATCCGGATGGTAATATAGGTCGGACACGGAAATTTAGGCTATCAGTCTAACTAGCAATATGTATATATCTTTCCTACTTATAAAGATTGGAGTTGGTAGTGAATTAAGATATAGGTCCAATATTTTTAAAAAAAATAAACAAATACACGCATCCTCACATGTGAAACTAGCGATCTTTCAAGAGACGTATAAACAGATGTAATAAACAAATATACTATTTTTTAAACACAAAAGTGCGACTTCAACTCAAAATTGATCTTTGTTTTAGTTTTTCTTCCCACCTATTATGTCATTTAAAATTCTCTGACATTGCATGCCTCTCACCGTATTTTTTATATTTTTTTTAAATCATAAATCACGCAACGGCCACAAAGACACAAACGTTATTAGACCACCTCCTATGTCAATGGCTTCATGGCAACACACCGGGATCTTGCTAGTGCCACAAAAATTATAGGTTTGAATAATTTATTTGACAATGAATCTAGAAATATAATAATTTTTATGGTACTATTAAATCTGCCCATGCAATATATTAACTGCATGTAGATAGATAGGATATTGTTTGTGTATTAATTATGTAATTTGCGCTGGAATTGATATTCTGTATGATATTAACTACATGGTAAATGTGTTTTGCGTTCACCATCGAAGCAATGCGAGCCATTGAATTGATCAAGTTTGATGGCTGAGATTGATTGAATCTGCTGCCCTTTTAAATCTTTTTATATTGGTATAAATACAACACATGTTTTGATAGTCAAATAGAGAAACTAAAAACTCGTGCCCGAGTTATACTCCCATCCGGAGAGAGTGATCGTTTTCTTAAGTGAGTAACATAAGGTCGACAATCCATAAAATATAATGAACTATTCTTCCTTCACACGTCTAACAACCCAAATAATATTAAATACAGTATAACATACTCCCTCCGTCCTAAAATATAAGAGCGTTTTGTATACTAGTGTAGTGTCAAAAACGTTTTTATAAACAGAGGAAGTAGTTCTTTGTTTCAGCTGCAATTGCACTAATAATTATTTTCACACTATACCAAAACATAATTTCATTCGCAAGATAAACACAATTACATAAAAACCATTTTTGTATGTTTACAATGATGAATATCTAAAAAAATAAGTTTTTTCTAATAAAATCGGATTTTATCAGTTTAATACCAGCATCTCTCGTTTAAGCGACCGCATGGGACATGTTCTTAGCAAACTCAAAATTCACATACAGTACTAAATTCGATCCCAATTCAATCGAATCAAATCCGGGCAAACTACTTGCACGTAAATGTGCCACTATCCTACATTATCCACTGTCGTCCCGTCCTATGCCATTGTGCTAATCTTCCGGGGCCGAAGATAATAACTACTCTACACAATTGGACCCAAACGGCAATGTTTGTTATACGGTCAGTGGGTAAGCGACCTACCGTATGGCCGTGTATCAATACCCGGACAGGGGGGGCGGTGGACCGATTCTTCTCTTCTTTAAAAGGCCTCCGAAAAATCTCCCCGTTTCCTCCCAGCGCTCCTCCCCTTCCATTCGAGGAAATCTTTTGTCGCGGGGTTCGATTCGCCTCTCGATTCAAGCCCAGGTTTTCCCATCAATTTGGGTTCCATTCTCGCGAAAGTTGGGAATTCGGAAGCATTTTCCGGTCGATTTGAGGCCGGCGGGGGTCGGAAGGTGCGACCCTTTGATCGAATAGCCCGCGCAAAGGCTTGTATTCGTCTGTAATTTAGCTCCGCATGTGATTCTTGATTTCTGCTCGCCCGGGTAGAAGGCCAATTGGCGGTTTCTTGGCTCCAATCCTACCTTCGCAGTTCGCTCGGCAAATCTGAGGCGCCGGGTGCTCCGTCTGCAAGGAGGGCTGCCATAATCCGCGCAATTTGGTCTTAGATGGGGACGGGATCGAGCATCCTTGGCGCGGATGCCGATTGGGGTGAGACGTCTCTCGGCGACATGCCGGAGAGCTGCGTGGCGGCGGTGCTGCTCAACCTTGACCCGCCGGAGATCTGCCAGGTAGCCTGCCTCAACCGCGCCTTCCGGGGCGCCGCATCCGCGGACTGCGTCTGGGCCGGCAAGCTGCCCGCTAACTACCGGTACCTTGCGGCCCTCGCAGCTGCCGCTGATGATGAGGGCGATGGTGACGGAGACGGCAATGTCAAGCCCTGCTCCCCTATATCGACTAAGAAGGGGATTTACGCGCGCCTGTGCCGACCTACTCCATTTGATGGCGGTACAAAGGTAGCTCATTTAACTATAATCTTTTATGGCAGCTGATCGTATGCGTAGATGATTAATTGAGCAGATATAGTGTTTAATACTGGAAACTGGAGAGGATTTCTATTTCCTTTTTTGTTCATGTTTGATTGATTTGGCTGTAGTTCTGTTCATGGACCCTTCTTGCTTGGAATGAATTCTTCTGCTTAAAAGGCAACCATGCTGTGATTTGCAGGAATTCTGGATCGAGAAGAACAAGGGAGGCCTTTGTATGTCCATCTCCTCAAAAGCGATGGCCATCACAGGTATAGATGACCGAAGATATTGGAGCCACCTTGTCACAGAGGAATCAAGGTATGTTCTTCCTCTTGCTGACCTTTTTCTCTGTATACATTTTATCTCTGAGATGTGATTTCCAATAGTTACCATTGAAGAAACCATCTCAGCAGTTGGTTTTCTGATTCAGGTTTAAAGCTGTATGCACTGGAGTATCGCTGACATGTTCTTTCCTAACTCCTAAGAATAAACTCTATTTTGCATACTGTTTTTACTTCATTGTTGTTTTTCTTTTCTTTCTTAACTCTATTTTAACTAATGTATACCCTTTAATATGATTATAGAATGTTGTAGTTCTCTGTAGCTGGTTAGGCTATTGCATAATTTCATGGTATACTTAGTTGATGAGAGCCATTTTTTCAAATTAGACAAATCATTTTATAGCCAGCAGTTAACCTCACATTGCCTAAATGTTGCTGTTTTTGCAAGCTACTTGATTCCATTCATTGGGATGTTAACCTTGTATTAGCATAAACTAGATGTTAGTCAAGTGAAATATGCAACACTATTAATTCAGGAGATAGTGATCAGTGAGAATGAAAACATTTCCTTTGACACGGATCTACTATGATGTAAGAAAGGTTAAAATGAATGTTCATATTTGCTCTGTAGGGCTGGAAATTCCCGTATTAATCAGCTAAGAAGAGAACAACATACTATAAAAAGAAATTCCCACATTAACCGACTACAAACAAAGATAGATCAATAGAAGAGGTTCTCTGAAAGGAAAAGAAATATTGGAAAATATATGGTGGCCTGGTGGGAATAGAATTATTTTATGAAAGAACCTTCGTGCCTTGAGCGTATGGAATATGGAGAGTGAATAATGTAAGTGAGACATGGTCACACATTAGAGGGGGGAATTTTGGATGCATTTATAAGGTATTTGAAGACATAGTTTACTTTTGCATTTTAAAATTTGAATACATGTATATTGCCTTAAAAGAGTATTTATCCCTTTGTCTCAAAGTTGTTTAATTTTGATGTACATTGTAGCAATTTGTGTTACTTTGTACTGGCATTACTTTTTTCATAAGTGAGCTATTTGTCAAGTATGTTTCTAAGTTCTAACTGGAAGTGCTTATCTTGGAGTGTACCTAGTATTCCATTATAAAGCGTTGTATGTACTGTTGTTTTCTTGCATATAGTCAGCCATATACTGGGTTTAGGGTTATCAGCTTCAGAGATTGTGACTTATGAAACGCTTGATTAAAAGTTCTGCTGTTAGGTTATTAGTTCATCTTTCATGATATATTTTTGGTACAAACTGTACCTTTCCTACATATTATACTTTTGCTGAGTTTCTTCCGTGTGCTATTTCAGATTCCATAGTGTTGCCTATCTTCAGCAAATTTGGTGGCTTGAAGTGGGTGGGGAGCTTGATTTCTGCTTCCCTGCAGGTTCATACAGCCTGTTTTTCCGTCTTCACCTGGGTCGAGCGCACAGACGCATGGGTCGCCGGGTTTGTGGAACTGAGCTCATTCATGGGTGGGATGCCAGACCCACGCGGTTCCAGCTCTCAACATCGGACGAACAGCAGGCTACATCGGAGTATTATCTAGATGGACCGGGAAGCTGGATTCTCTACCATGTTGGTGATTTTGTCATCTCGAACTCGGATGAGCTGACCAGCCTGAAGTATTCAATGATGCAGATTGACTGCACCCATACTAAAGGTGGTTTGTGCGTTGATTCGGTTGCCATATACCCGAAAGGGTATCGGCGCGAGAACATGAACATGGTCTACATGTGATGAGATTTTGCAGAGTGGTTGCGGTGCTGCAGCGACGCGAGGCAATTCAGAGGGAGATGGCTAGTATTTTTCCTGTCCATTCTTATCTGAAGGTCCTTGTATATATCATTTTCTTTCTTCTTCCTTTCTGATGAGAGTTTTGCATTTTGTTCTGTATTCTTTGTAGTGTTAGTTACACAGCTAGGGAGGTAGGGGAGATCTAGAAGCAGGTTAACTTGACATGCTATTTGCGGAGTGCACAGTACTAGTCGTGTAATAAGCGGTCAATACCATCTTCATGTGTAATTTTCATCAGCATAATGATGTTTGGCGAGCTGGGTGTTCCTCTCTGCGTCGCCCTATGATTATAACTAATTTCTTCTTCTTGACCATTTGGGTGTTCCAGCCCTTCGTTTGTTTTCATGCGTCAGCTTGAATGTATGGGAATGATACTCTCGGGGTGATGTTGATGTGCTCGGAGAGCCGGTGCCTAACCTCGGGAACGGGGACATGTTTGCCATCAAACTTGTTGAATACATATCTAAATTGGATGCTATCAAACTTGTTGAATATATATCTAAATTGGATGCTGAAAAAGATGGTTGGATGCCTCTTGAAGCAAAAGGCATCGGGGACAAATGCAAGGATGGTGCTTCCATGATACAATTGTCTAGACTGCAAACGTTGGCTCCCATGTGTCTATTGTCTTTGTTATTATATCCGTCTCAAGTTGTTGTGGGTCGATGGGTTTCATTGATATGACCAAGTGTCTGAGGCTGCATTGAGTCTGTTGGGTGTGTTTGTTGGGGTCCTGTGGCTCCATAGTCAGGAGTAGTATGCATGAGTGAGCAAGTTCGTGATGATTTTAACCTGGTTTTTCGTCAATTAACGGGCAACTTTATCCTTCCTAACTAATGGATGTCTTTCACATCTCTACTTTAAAATAAAAATGTCAAAGGAAAACAGAGAATATTCAGTTTTTACACTACACAGCGCCTCATATCTCCAAAGCACTCTGCTGATCTCGACCACTCATGCCCTGAGCATGCAGCTGGACCTCTTCCGAACGGCCCCTTGCTGTTCGGTAGCTCTCATCAGCCCAAACAAAGCAGGCAGCTTCTTAGAGCACCTTCAATAGGTGCCAACTTTAAGGCACCAAAATTGATTTGAAGCAAAATTTTCAGCATCAAAATGTTCATCTTCAACCGTTGCTCTAAAATTGATGCCCTAAAATACATCATGGTCGTCTTCTTGTGGGTGCTCTATTTTAAGGCACCTGTTGAAGCAACAGTGTGATGTAAAGCAATTGTTTTCTTATGGTCTTGCGATGCCTCTTTGCCTTAAAAATTTGCAGCACTGTATGTTGTATTTTGCAGTTGCTCTATCCTTGAAGTAATTTTTTGGCATCTGGTGCACTTGAAGCAACGTTTTTGCCCCCTTGTGATGTAAAAATCGGCTGTGCCTATTTTAGACAATCTGCCCAAGATGCTCTTAGAAAACCAGAGCTGAGTTAACTGATCATTCGCCTCAACAGTTTCCGCTTCTCATGATAGCACAGACTGGAAGCCTTCCACTTTGTCACCTGGGCAGCAAATGCCTGTAACTTCATACTAGTACTACTTTATTTTTTAGTAAACACAGAACAAACATATACTACACATACATACACTCATTCCGGTTAACAAACACATGCACGCCCTACCACTAGCAGCCAAACATTCCACCGGAACGAAACAACCCGTTCCATGGGGCATGCTACACCATGACAATTTTGAGAGGATTATGATCATCAAGAACAATCTCAAACTCTTCAAGTCAGATTATGCTACATACAACAGGGCTCTCGGATCAAGATCTTGGAGCTCACATAACCACAAACTAGGGTTGCAGGCACACATAAAATTGTGATGACATTAACTAGAGGTAGGATGAAACGAAATACATCGGAGTTGCTGATAACGGCACAATCAAGATTTAAGATGTTGGAACAGCTCAGGCAGATGGGCATTCGTGAGCTTGGTCCGTTTAGTTATCTCGCGTTGCTTCTTCTTAGGCTTAGCCTTGGGTTTCACGCCATGGATCTGGGCTGCTGCTCGTCGTTTGGTGGTGTCGGTCATCGGCTTCATGCCGTTCTTCTGGAGCTCCTTTTCGATATCAACCATATCACGCGGTAACTCAATCCCACGGAAGAGCTCCTTCAGGTCATCATCAACCTTGATCTTCACTTTTGGATCGTTAGGGTAAACAATGTCCTCCTGTGAATCCATGTTTGACAACAGCCAAACTTCACCTGCTGCCTTCAGAGCCTAGAAGCCAACAATATGGGTTATAAAGATATACGCAATGTATAACATATGTAGTGTACACAAATCATGGCACTCAAGATTACCCATCATAAAAAAACATATGTACAGAAACACATGCACTCTAAAATTAAAATTTACCTTTAATACTTCAATAGGCACCACATATTTAACAAAATTTAAGGGCGATTAAACTCGTATGAAACCAAGTTGAACAGGCAATAGATATGCTACCAGACCAAAAGAAACCCATATGAAACAACTGTTATTTACGGAGCCCTCTTGTTGTTCAGAGCTAGCAGAACTGATTTGTGCCCTCTTACAGAATTACTTGGAAACTTCCTACATAAACGAATATTCTCATGATGTCAACACAACTCATGGTACCTCAAAACTGTCCAGGAGTACTGACAGCATTTCAACAAGGTATGCCATTGGTAATTTTACCAGGTCTAGATGCTAAGAAACATGAGTGACCACTAAACCTCCCATCGTGGTACTCTGAAGTCCAGAGTTAAAATGAGAAATATAAAGTACCATTGGGTGAAACAACAAATATCCAAGTAGATTGGGGATAAACCAAGCTTTAGGCACATGGCTGCAAGATTGATTGAAACATTACAAAGTCTGGGTACCATAAAAAGTTAACTAGCAACTGGTTAACCAAGAAACCACAAAGTATATCACCTTCAGGAGAATTAGGGTCACATATTCTCACCTGCAAATCTTCCAACACACTTGGGTATGCATCCTTCACTTCCACAACAGCAAGACCCTCCTGGTGACACCTTATCAAATCAAGTAGTTGATCTTTCCCCTCCAGATCATGCTTGGACTGCACAAGTTCCAACAACCAAATAACAATGACACCTTTGAACTAATTCAACTTCAAACAGAAAGATAAGTCTATGGACATAACACATTTCTGATGTTTTGTTCAGTAATACAATTAAAAGTATCTTCATATCAATTACAAAAAAATATTATATATGAAGCAAGAAGCGCCTAGAAGATTCAAGCTACGTATTGAAAGCATAACTAGTAAGTAGCAATTACCTTGTACGAGAAACGCCTCCCATCATACTGTACTTTGAGGTTATTCCTCAGACTGTCAAAGACAGCCTTATTAGCATTGATATCAACGTAAGTTGCATCATTTATCTGCTCTGCCGTAAAAGCTTGTCTTGTCTGCAGTAAAATATCAATTCCAGGAGTGAGACACAGCACTGCAGTTTACAACGAAGGTTCACATAATGCTCTTGGTGAAGATATTTACAACTTCTAAGCACCAAAGAATATTAATGCGCAGAAAGCAAACCATGGTAGAAAATTGTTATAATACGACAGCTACATACAGAAGAGAGAGGGGCAGACGGGCTTAGCCCAGATCATCAAGCCAGCCTATAAGGGGAAATGTTAGGCTCCTACTCCATAGTTCATTCTGAAAGGAAAAAGGGAAAGGCCCCACTTCAAGAGGAAGGGCAAAGCGCCTAAACTAGGGTTCATTGTCAAAGATTTTACAGTTTCTTTGTTTTCAAATGCTCCAAACAGAGAAAGCCTCCATGAAGAAGGGTTTGCTGAAGGACCCCCTGGGTAAAACAATCATGTTCTCCATCCCCAGATCACTATCCAAATGTAGATTGATCGGCACCCAACACTCCATGCTCAAGTGGCAATTCAAGAAGAGGTAATCTCTGGTATCAAGGTGGCCATCCTCGCAGAGCACATAGTTAACAACTGTTCCTGACCTGGAAATTCCGTCTCTGCAACATGCCCTTATTATTGAGACTGTCATTAAGCAGAAACCAAACAAATGCCTTAATCTTGGAGGTGCATTTAGAGTTCAAGAACCGGTTTGAGAAAAATAAGGGCCTGAATATGATCGAAAGAGAACCTATAGGTTTTGGAGGCAAAGGAAGATGGCCCCCACTTATAAATCCAAATGTCAACTCCAGTGTTATTAGGGTTATGCTGGAGAATCATCTACCTGAATTCATTGAATTCATCAAAAGCTTGCAAGAGGATCCTGAGAGAAAAGACATCACTGACCGAGGCCAGAAAAGAAGGTGGAATAAATTATCAGCCTAAAATATTAATTAATTCCACATGGAGAATCATAACAATTACTGGCATATAAACTCAACTAGCAGAATACTTCTTTTAGAATGCATTACCATGATGATTTGCAGGATCAACGAAAGAATTTGCAACGCCTTAACAGGGGAAGAAATTTGCCAGTTTACATTAGTGTGGGGAACAAATAACGTTCTAGCTTAGCAAGAAGTACCTTGTAAAGCAGTTCAATGACAAGTTTGATCTGTGCCCCAACAGGAGATTTCCTAATCGAATTAATATGTTGCAGCCTTTCTGTATCGTTTGAAAATTTAATAGGTTGTGCAGGCCTTGCTGGAGCAGATGGAGCATTAATCGGTTGGGCCCTGTGCTTTGGTTTTGTGGTTGAAGCTTGGCTTGCAGCTATGCTGGCCAAAGATGACTGGCACCTCTCCTGTTGCTGCTTAAATCTGGAGAGGCTGTCCTTCAAATCCATCTACAGATGGCATGCTCATAAGCAATTAGTGTAAAAATCATAAATGCAGACACCTGAACAGGAAAAAAAAACTGTATGCTATGCTCAACTAGACATATGCTATTGAACACCTTAAATCTGGTATGGGGTGATACAATCTGAGTTGGTAAAGGCAAACTCTGGATGCTCTTACATAAATGCAACTAGAAATGTATCATTGCTGAGGTTTTGTGCAGCTATTTACACCAAATTATTATTATTTATTAACGCATTGCAGTTCCACGTCATTATCTGGTGACGCGCAACAGAAGCCACGCCAGTGGCGGATACTCTTGTTGACCGGAGGCATTGCACATTGAAGTACTGGCTTCACCTTTTGTAGCATTGACCCAGCCAGGTGCAGCGCAGGCCACCACGAGTCTGCGAAAGCTGAAGGAAGAGAAACCAGTCGCACCTTCCCTGTTCTTGCTGAGTGCAAGTGAATAAGCATCCCTGTTGTCTCATGTCCCCTTTCATCATCCATACTATGGATGACTTAATGCATTATCCATTGCTTCTCAGAGTTGAGATTCAACGGGGCATGAGAAATGTGCACGTGATGACTGGGTGATGCTGACCAAACTAGTTATATATATTTAGCTGTGTACCTTTTGTATTTTCCCCGTTCTATAAGGGGCTTTCTGCATATTGTACCACACATATACTGGCCTATGGCCACCTGGGAATACAAGTTGCATATTTCCTAACATGGTATTAGAGCCCTAGGGTTTTTTTTCTCTTCGGACGAGCAACTTGTGCTTGATCCCATCTTGTGCCGCTGCCTCCTCCTCTTGGACGACTGATGCTGCTCCCGCCGTTGCTGCCTGGCCACTGCCGTTCTCCACTGGCGCCGTCACCCCTCTAGGTCCCCCATCCGCCGGCTCTTGACTCTGCCCGCCCGCGCTGGCTCCCAATCCGCCGTCCTAGTCCGCTCCAGCTGCTTCCCCCGCCACGCATCACACACAAATCTTGCTAGGGTTGAGCCGCCACGCCTCAACGCCTCTCTTTCCCTCGCCACCCAGCCATGCACAATCACACCAGTGCTCCGTCGGTCGCGCTTCGTGTGCTCCAGCCAAACCCGCATCGCTGCTGCCACACACTAGTGCTGCGGGAGAAATAGAAGCGAAGGACAGAGGCTTCGGCACTCGCTTGTGAAGGGGTCACCAATGCGCCAGCCTCAGTGCTACTCCGTTAGCCGCCGTCCGCGTCAAGGGCCGCCGAACAACACACCCCGTGTCTCCCTTCAATCCCACATCGCTGCGCCTTGAGGGCAAGGTTGGTCGCTCCTCCGCGGCTGGGAGTGCTCACGGCGGGAGGAGCTAGGCGTCGACCTCCCGAGCCCCGTTGAAGCTCGCACATGATCAGGAGGAACCCCGCCTAAATCTAGAGGAGAGCGTTGACCTTGGCGACGACGCGAACACGTTGGTGGATGTGGACGAGGGCAGAAGAAGGCAGCAGCGAGGAGCAGGAGAAGGTGGCGATGGCGACGAAGGCTACTCTTTGCTCGGGAGGGGAGAGGATGAAGACCACAGCTTGAAATTTCCATCGGGACACAAATTTTGTGGACGGAGCGCACTCCAAAAATGTGCTTGCGGACTGCAAATATGGAGGCTGGAGAGGCAAGCATGGAGGGCGCTTCAAAAATTATGGCAATGAGTGTGGAATGACGAATCTACTAGAGGAACCTTTTGGCCAAAAACTCCAAACTGATGGTAAATATGGAGTTCAGACTGTTTCGACAATTTTGCTAGAGTTGCTCTAACAAGTAAAGAAAATAATTCAAATGTCAAGAGAGAGAGAGAGAGCCGTACCATTTGGTACAACTAATCTTTCCCCTGCTTCTCTTATTTTCAGCATCCATACAAGAAACCAACTCTAAAGACCGCTTGTAAGTGCCACACAGCAACCTCATTCTAAGACCATGTACAACTACCAACAAGAACATAGCAACCTTTTCTTCCACGGTAACATGTACAACGTCACAGAAGCCACACTTCTCACGCAATATGGTGCACAAGTCATGGAAGTTTTACTTAGTTAAACACAATGCATCATAGCAAGACACTTCGGAACCATCATACATCTCTTTGGGCAAATACTTCCTAAGATTATGCCTCATCGTCACTAAAGCTGCCTAAATTATCCCCTCCCCTCTGTGTACTGAGATATGCTAGCGCAAGAACACATAATTCAAAATACAATTTTGTCAACACAATTCTTCTCCTGCTACTTCTTTTATGTTCAGCATCCATGCAAGAAACCAACTCTAATTAATCTGACATGATTCTGCTACTATCTGCTTGTAAGATGTTGCGTACAACAAGACAGCGGTAAATTCTTTGTGGCAAGTTTGGATGAAGAATTACCTTCAAACTGCGAGAAGAACACCACTGCAATCAGCTGGAAGAGCAGGACAACCAGCAGTGCAAAATCGGATAGAACAACAGGACAACCTAAAAAAAACAGCAGCAGAGGATTAGGGTTCATGTCGAGCTGCTCCAATGGAGAAGGTTGTAAGAGGGAGGGGCGACGGGGGAAGGGGTGGACATGGGGCTCGGGAGGAGGATGGCCGGTGGCAGGCGGCGGCGGCGAGCAGCCCGCCACCGCCACGGAGGCCGAGATGCGGGGCAGCGGGGCGTCTACTCGGACTCGTGCTAGGCGGCAGCGGTGGGGGACTGCGGCGAGGGATGTTGGAAGACGTCCGGAGAGAGAGGAACCAAGGAGGAGACGGAGGGCACTGACCTGCTCGCCGCCGGGAGTCTCTCCGTCGCTTTTGGATAGAAGGACACGGGGTGGAGCGCCAGGCCGCCAGCCAATTGCAGAAAACCGAGACCGCGGGCACGCAGGGTTTTTTTTTTTTTTGAGACAACCGCGGGTAAGTAGTTTTTCAGGAGTGGATTCCACAGCGTGCAGCTGACCTGTGGGCAGCAGCGCAAGGCTAACCACCTCGTACGTAAAACACGGAGGGGCGATTTGAGGCGATCGACTCAAGCGCTAGGGTTAGGGTTTTGCGAACGGTGGTGGTGTGGATCATGGCGATACGGGAGGGGACAACGGCGTCTCTGAACGTGATTGCGCCGGGGTGCGGATCTCTCTCCGGTGAGGAAGACATGGAGGAGAGGAAGAAAGATGGTGGACCGGCGGCACGGAACGCGTCGGTGGCGGCGGGGCAGGGAGCGGCGGCGGCAACAGGGATGACCTCGGGGAGGACGGGAACAACGCCAAAGCAGCCGACACAAAAGGAGACACCGGACAACGAAATGAGGACGCCACTGGGCTCCCATAGCATATACGCCTCTATGTCCCCGGGGATTGATGGCGCGACTGGGGGGTTTGGCGCTGACAGAGAAAGAGGCTAAAGGCTTCGTCTTCAAGTAGCCTGGGCAGGAGCAGGTCAAAGCGGCGAAGTGGTCGGCGATTGGTAAAGCATTCACACCCAGGCCTGTGAATAAGAGTGGCCTAGAGAACTCCATGTCCAGGGCTTGGGGGTTACATAAGGAGGCGCGGTTCAAGATCATTGGGAGGAACCTGTTTGCAGTATGGTTTGGTAGCGAGGGAGATTGGAAACACGCCCTAAATAATGGTCCATGGCAATTTGATTTCAATACTCTGGCTCTTAAGGACTATGATGGAGAAACGAGACCATCGGAGATGAAGTTTTACAGTATTGATGTTTGGGTTCGTGTGGAGGATCTGCCTTTGGACAAAAGATCGAAGGCGTTCGGGGAAGCACTTGGGAACTGGCTAGGAAAAATGGTTAGGGTTGATGTGGAAAAGGATGGGTTCGTGAAAGGCTCGAAGCTGAGATTCAGAGTTAAATTGCCAATTTTTGAGCCTCTAGTGAGAGGATTCCTGCTAAAGAAATCGGGGGATGATCTGGAAAAAACTTGGTATGACTTCAAGTATGAGAAAATCCCACACTTTTGCTTCAAGTGTGGACGACTCGTTAATGGTGAGAATGGCTGTGTTCCGGCGGTGGATCCTGATCAACAGTGGGGGGGAGTGGCTCCGAGCATCCCCAGGGCGTTCGTGGGGGCCGAAGGACGGGGTTCACCGTGGCCCTTCGGGCAGTGCAAACTGTTTTGGCAGTGTAAGGTCCAGTGAAGGGGAGGGACACCGAAGGAATCCTGGAACAGTCCGGGATCTTCCAACCAAGCGCAATTTGCATAATGAATTTACCACTCCAGCAGCCTCCCGCACTGGCGGGGAGGCAATGGGGAGTTATGATCATGATGCTAGACCCAATGAGCAACGACACGAGAAGGATTCAGTGAGGGAAAGGGACTTGCGGGAGGATCTTGAGCAGAAGAGAGAGAGAGAGAGAGAGGGAGAGAGAGAGAGTTCTTCGGTCCGAACTGAGACAGAGACAACAAGAAAGGCAGACTGAACTAAGGTTCAGGTACAAGCAGTACGGGCAGTGGGATCATGGTGATGCTGGTACATCGAATTCTTTCAGTGGAAGGGAACGAAAACAAGGATACTATGTGAGAAAGCCTAGACCAGAGCATAATGGGGAGGCGAGGCCTACTAGCAGCCCTAGACATGAAGGCCCAAGGGATAGGAAGAGGAGGCCGAGGCAGTATTGGGTAGTAAAGGGCGATCTAGACAAACAAGTAGGCAATGACACCTTTGTTAGAGACACAAGGCAGAAAATGTCCTCGGTGTTTGAGCGCATTAGGGAGAACAATGATTCAGCGGCGGACCCTACTAGGAGGCAGGGCCGCCGGGAGCAATGAATATATTAGCCTGGAACTGTCGGGGATTGGGGTTGGACCCGACAGTAGGCGAACTTCGGGACCTGGTTAGGTCACACAACCCAGCGGTGGTTTTTTTTATCTGAAACAAAAAAAATCTTCAAGCTCAATGGAGAGACTGAAATGGAGCCTAGGCTTCAAGCATGGTGTAGCTGTGAACTGTAATGGGAAGAGTGGGGGTCTTGCTTTGTGGTGGAGAGATCATGTGGAGGTGACAGTGAGGCCTTGGTGCTAGTATTATATTGATGCTCAGATGGTGGTGGACAATGTTACATTTAGATTCACTGGAATCTATGAGGAGCCGAGTGTAGATACAAGAAAGAAAACGTGGGAAGTGTTTCATTATTTCCGATCACAAGATAATCTCCCATGGCTTTGTGCGGGGGAGTTTAACGAAGCCCTCTTTCAAAAAGAGCAGATTGGGGGCAATCCGAGAAATTTGAACCAAATGGCGCAATTTGCTGACTGCTTGTCCGACTGCGGACTGGCAGACCTTGGGTTCTCGGGGTACCAATTCACATGGGATAACAAGCAAGATGGCAGCAAGAACATTCAAGCCAGATTAGACCGAGCCACGTGCAATGCGGAGTTCGCGCAGTTATTCCCGGCGGCCGAAGTGATTCATGTTATGACAGAGGAGTCGGACCATCAGGCTTTAATTGTCAAAGTGCAGGCGACATAGGCCGTAGCGCACTCTAGAGGCCAGCGGCCGTTTATCTATGAAGCCGCTTGGGCACGGCACGAGGGGTACGAGGCCATGGTGGCCAGTGCATGGGCCGATGCCCATGCAGCCAATCAGGAGGCTGGTGGACTCGGCGCGGCATGCAGCCGCCTCCTTTTCACGTCGAGAGCCATGCACAAGTGGAGCCGCCAAGTCTTCGGCTCAATTAAAAAACAGATCGCTCACCTCAAGATTCAGTTAGTGGATGCTAAAGAGCAGGCCGCTCGGACGGGAT